GGGGTTATCATGTTTGTTTTTTATATACTTATTTTGTTTATTTATGAATGTGGAGCATTAACTTGTTTTTTAATGCACATTAGACATTATATTATTATTTTAATTGGGAATTTGGCATAATGTGGGATTGTGGGTAGGTTGATGCTTATTTTAATTGGGATCATGTAGGTTGATGCTATTTCTATTTCTAGTTTGTTTAATGTTTTTTTTTTAATGTGTGGTGTTTTGTTGCATGTTTATTAGCTATTATAATTTATTTTTATATACATAATTGTGTCATAATATGGTAAAATGTTGCATGTACATATATTTCTATTTTTTGTATAATGGCTCGCCTCGATTTCATAAGGCGGGCGCCTCGCCGCACGCCTCACGCCATGGCAAATCGGAGCTTTGTCGCTTCGGCTCGCCGCGCGCTATTTTAATCACTGCTCGATATAAAGTGTACCTGGATCCTCGTCTCGCTTCGCTTTCATAAGGCAGGCGCCTCGCCGCACGCCTCACGCCATGGCAAATCGAAACCTTGTCGCCTCGGCTCGCCGCGCGCTATTTTAATCACTGCTCGATATATCATAATCATATGTGGAGCGTGAGTCTAGAAAGTGAACCTGGATCCTTTATAATAAGAGATTGAATCCTTTATAATAAGAGATTGAATGACTTATAGTTGTCTTGAGATCAACTTTATTAAATTATAGTCTTTCATGCTATTTGGTTATTAATCTGATTACTAGGATGTGGGCAGATAGTAAATCTGTTTTTGCTATAGAGTGAAAAGCAATTTTGTGTAGGTGTTCTGTGGGTATTCGTTTGATTTTGGCCTACTGTACTTTCTAGTTTGGTTAGAATTGTTTTGCAAGCTATAGCTTTAATTTAGTTGGTAATGGGAGATTTCTCCCTTGTTAATTAAAATTGTCATAAGCGGCAAACAATATGAGGAGCTAGTTGAAAAGTCACCAACCTATTTATCAAGTAAAATGTTTATATTTATATAGTGAGTTTCAACTGTGTAAAATCTGCTATAAGCTACTAATATTCACATTCGGTTGAGAAGTACATCTTCACTAGAGAGAAGTGAACTACTTAATCGAGTCTTGCAATATGCACCAATTACCAAATATGTGATGGCAATGAAGGGGCTGTGAATTAAATTGAGTATGGACATTTGGGTGATCATTGTTTAATGTTTATCAGTTGGAATCCAACTTTGTTGGGGACTAACACTCACCTTGGTAAGAAAGCATAACTGTACCCATGATGCTCGATTATATCAGAAGATGGCATCCTAGGAGTGACAAGCTTAAAATATTTATTCTATACTTACCGCCAGATGTTACATTATGATAGAATTACCATTGTGGTATGAAGATGACCAGCTTACCTAGGGAAATTGTAAAATAGAATTTGGACCTTGATATGGTATAGATTGAGGTATTCAACTATTCTTTGTGAATAGGGCTGTCTGGATTACAACATGAAATTGTCACCCTGAGTGAGTTTAATGTTCATTTGTGAATAGTTTGCCTCGTAGGGGAATGTACTGGAATATGACAGTGAAATGAGAGAACATGGAAATGTTTGGAGTTCTTGTCATCTTCTCTTTTTCCCTCTCATGCCTGCTCTATTGGTATAAGAATATATTTATATGGAAGCATAGAAATCATGAAAACAAAAGGCATAATTAGAGGAAGCTAAGCATGCACCATTATTCAGAAAGGAAGATATCATCCTTTCAATCTGAACGTGGGTTTTCTTACGGTATGATACTCTTATCAATCACAGACGAATAGAATGAGTGTGGTTGGTGGTCCAAAGAGTATGTATAGCATGGATTATTCTACGATAACTACTGTACAATTCGAAGTCGTTAACTGTCTCTGATATTAATCACTAAAATGTTGGAGGAACTGATTTAGGCTATGTTTGGTAACCAAATAAGCTAGTTTATAGCTCATACAGTTTGTTTATAAGCTTCCTATATTCAAATAAAATAAGTTCGTTTGGTAGAACGAGCTTTTTAAAAAACTCGAGCTTATCTCATAAGTTTCTTTGGGTAGCTTTTCAAATAAGCTCGTTGAAATTTTTTATTTGAGCTAGCTTATCAGCTAATTTTACCAAACACTTTTATGATATAGGTTAACTTTTCAGTTATAAGTCACAAGCTATAAGCTCAAAAATCACTTATAAGCTATAAGCCAACTTATCAGCACTAGTTTGACCGAACATAGCCTTAATAAACTTTGTTGAACTCGGGCTATTATCCTGTATTGGTGTATCCTTTTTCATTGTTAATGTAGGTAGAATGAAAGGAAATTGACTTAGTTTTTGGGATATTGATTTGTGCTTAAACTTTGGGATTTGGACTGATTAGTTCCCTCTGATTCTATTTATTTTCAATAGGTCAGAAACATAAGTATAGACATCAGAAACATAAGTATAGACATACATAAGTTGTACTAGCTGAGGCTATTAGACAAATTAACTTTATCTAGGAAGCAATTATTCCGAGATGTATCAATCATCTCTGGTAGTTGTTTCGTACTTATCATCAATAAATTCCATTCTCCCTTATCATGCCTTTCCCTGTACTCCAAAGTCCAAACATGTAGATTATGAGTTCAACTAGTGTAAAGCATATAAAGATCGGTTCTATACAAAATTTGTAGTATGAAAAAAGAGCTGATAACATATAGTTTCTCTTAGACGAGGTTTAATAATTTATCCATGAGACTGGGTAAGTGTATAAATTGCTGCTGTATAAGTCCTGAATTTTTTAATGCCAAGTCTCGAAATATATGGAGGCTGAGGCTTGGACAAAATTAGAAGATAACAAATAGGTGGTCCGTTCTTGAAACTACTGAAACATGACAATGAACATAGCAAAAAGACAGTAGGTACAAATCCAAGAAAATCTGTAACAAGCTTCTGGCATATATCCGAGCAGTGAATGTCACAATGATTGCATGGCTTGTTTTGATGAGCTTATGATTTCTGGTATTGCTCCAACAATTCCAATGTCCGATGCTTAAGAAATAACTAATTCTCCCTATTCAACCTACTTTCGTATGGACTTATCAGATTTCTCAGCGTCTTAAATAAATAACCTTGATTCTCTGTGAAGCTTTCGAGATTCATGTTCGATTCAGTTAATTGTTTCAAAAGGTTAACACGGCAAGCTTTTCGAAGTAAAATTTATTTGTTTACGTGTCTTACATATATCAGTCCGAACAAAATTTTAGATGCATGCAACTACATTGTGAGTAACTAATAAGACAGTCTAACAAGAACTGAAATGAAGGCTGCCTATTCGGTACGAGTTGCCATTCGAGTTTGTCACATAACTGGATTTATATCAAGTTCTCTCCATAGATACAATTTAAAAAATAATCAAACACTACCTTGTGAACACCCTCAAGCTTTTTGACATATGTTGCTCATATGTTTCAATAATTTATCTCTCTTTAATTTTCTCTAATACTCTTTCTTGTCTGACATCAACAGGCACGAGCTCCTCCTTTTCGAAGCCCTGAGAGAAGGTCTGGATGAGGAAATGGCCCGTGACCCCTGCGTCTGCGTGATGGGCGAGGATGTGGGCCATTACGGAGGCTCATACAAGGTCACCAAGGGCCTGGCCGAAAAATACGGCGACCTCCGCGTCCTCGACACCCCCATCGCCGAGAACTCATTCACTGGCATGGCTGTGGGAGCTGCTATGACGGGCCTCCGTCCCGTCGTCGAGGGCATGAACATGGGCTTCCTCCTCCTCGCCTTCAACCAAATCTCCGACAACTGCGGCATGCTCCACTACACCTCCGGCGGCCAGTTCACGATCCCCACCGTCATTCGCGGGCCCGGCGGGGTCGGCCGCCAGCTCGGAGCCGAGCACTCCCAGCGCTTAGAGTCTTACTTCCAGTCCATTCCCGGCATCCAGATGGTCGCATGCTCGACTCCTTACAACGCCAAGGGCCTCATGAAGGCCGCGATCCGCAGCGAAAACCCGGTCGTGCTTTTCGAGCATGTCCTCCTTTACAACCTCAAGGAGCGGATCCCGGACGAGGAGTACGTGCTGTCGCTTGAAGAAGCGGAGATGGTGAGGCCGGGGGAGCACGTTACGATACTGACATATTCTCGGATGAGGTACCACGTGATGCAGGCTGCCAAGACTCTGGTGAACAAGGGTTACGATCCGGAGGTGATTGATATCAGGTCGTTGAAGCCGTTTGATCTGTACACGATCGGGAATTCGGTAAAGAAGACGCACAGGGTGGTGATTGTGGAGGAGTGCATGAGGACGGGAGGTATAGGGGCGAGTCTGACGGCGGCGATAAACGAGAATTTTCACGATTATTTGGATGCGCCGATTGTTTGCCTGTCGTCGCAGGACGTGCCGACTCCGTATGCAGGGACGTTGGAGGAGTGGACTGTGGTTCAGCCGCCACAAATTGTGGCGGCTGTCGAGCAGCTCTGTCAGTAGCAGCAGCCCATAACCCTGTTGTATGTGGTGAGATCAAGTTGAGGTCAGTTTTAGTTTGAAACTTTTTATTATCCTTTGCTACAAATTGTTTCGGGTGTATTATTTTGTGATTGTGTCGGGAATGAAGGGGTTGATTTTTTTTTTTTTATTATTTTTTTTTTCATGGCGCGAATTGCTTTGAAGCCCGAGTATGATTTTGTTATTGATTATCAGAGCATGTAGGTACGTGCTTATGTATTTGCCAGATCAATGGTGATTATGTTAGTCTTCGGATGTGCTTTTTATTATTATTTATTATATTAATATTTTGTAGCTTTGTGAATAAATTAGGTCTAGGGCTTTAGAAAATAAGACAATTTCTTCTTTGTTATTGAGTAGTTAAATTTGGAAAATAAGAAATTGATCATTTTATCGTTTTGAGATTGAAATCTCATTTATCCTTCTTCCTCGTACGTTGCCTTACATCACAATGCTTGAAAATTCAGTGCAATAGAACCAAACCAGCCCTCTATGGACAATAGAATCGAAAATAACCCTACCCGAAATGAAAATTTAGTACAAAAATACTCACCTGAATTTGTGGTGTCGATTGCGGTCGAGTCCCCCTATGTGTGGGAGATTTGAGATGGCGAGCTGCCACCGACTATCAAGTATTGAGCAAGACTTTTTGTTTTTCATTTTAAAAGGAGGATCAACAGTGTTCTTACTTCTCTTCTTATTGAGCAAGACTTTTTGTTTTTCATTTTAAAAGGAGGATCAACAGTGTTCTTACTTCTCTTCTTCGGTGACTCGATCCTATGACCTACCTGTAATTTGTGAAGCGTCTTACCAACAAGCACGACTTGACGGATTAAGAATGTCGATGCCGCCAAGCGGATTAAGAATGTCAAAACCTTACAGGTGCATGCACAGTGCTGCAGGTGAATTACAATCGGCAAGTTAGGTCTGACCCATATTTTAAATTTTTACCTTTTTTTTTTAATTGACTCTTTATTTAATTAAGTTTTTTTTTCACTTACTTTATTTAATAAAGTTGATGAATATGATAGCTCATAAGTCATAATTGGGTAAGTAAATACAATAAAAACTACAATGAGCCCTTAATTTATTTATTTTTTTATTACCTGTTCGGTTTTAAACGAACTCTTATGGGATGCTACCGATATTGAACCGATAGTAATTCGGTAACATCGGTTACCTTTAGAAACGAGTTAGTACAATTCGATTTATTTTCTCATCGATTCGATTTTTTTTTTTTTACAAAAAAAAATAGCCAACCTATTTTTCGAATACTTATTCAATTTTAACATGATTTACTATCTTTTAAGGCAGCATAAAATGAATTCTTCGTATTATATTGGTTACAAACTGAATTACTAAAATATTCTTTATATATAAATATTACAATATTATATATATGTAGAATAAATTCTAATTTTACTTAAAACTCGAGTCAAGCTCGAACAATCTGTCAAGCATTTTGATTTCAATCGATTTCGAGCCGAGCTCGAGCGATTGTCTTCTTTTGTCAAGTCGATCTCGAAAGTTATAAATCGAGTCGAGCAAATAAAAAAAATCAATATTGCTCAATAAAATTAATGTTCGACTTCACTCGACTCGTTTGTAGCCAACACAGTCCAACAATCACATGCGCAGCACGTTCAATACTGAGCATATAAATTAGAAACTGGAGGAAGAGTAACAGGGTGTGGCAGTCGTAATCATATGTTTGTTAAAAAGCCTACGTAGTACAATAGGTCGGTGGACTCATGCACAACTTGATAAGTCTTGTCTATTAACGATGTGATCGATATTCATGTGGGCCATTGCATATAACAATTCACTAGCACGGCCGTGTGAGTCTGGGCCAAGGCAATTTTGCACGCGCCTCTCACTCCAAAAATTAGAAAATTTAGAGGGTGTAGTGTATATTTCCATTTTTTCTTTTTTTTAATTGAAAAAGAGACATATTGCATAAATTAAAATATCATTAATTATTTATATTAAAAAATAAAATAAAAATATCAAAATTCATAATTCTTTATTATCTATAAATAGAGAACCACATTTGATAGGTTTTTGAACAAAACTAATTTCACGTTTTTTTGTAATTATTTTATTATACTGACATATAATGAACATGTTACATAATAAGATGAATATGTTTTCAAATAAGATGAATGTTACAGATTAAAATAATACATATTCATCTTATTTTATAACATGTTCATCTCATTTTGGTAACATATTCATCTTATTTTATAACATGTTGACCTTATTGTGTACGTAACATGTTCATCTTATTCTATAACATGTTCATTTTATTATGTAACATGTTCATCTTATTTTAGAACATGTTCATCTAAATTTCATCTGTGAAAATGTAACAATTTCATCTTATTCTACGACATATTCATCTTACTCTGTAACATGTTCATCTTACTATGTAATATGTTTATCTTATTATAGATTTGCGCCATAATCTTCCAATAAGATAAATTAATTGTAAAAAATGGACATGTTCATCTTATTCTATAACATGTTCATTTTATTATGTAACATGTTCATCTTATTTTAAAACATGTTCATCTAAATTTCATCTGTGAAAGTGTAACATTTTCATCTTATTCTATGACATGTTCATCTTACTCTATAACATGTTTATCTTACTATGTAACATGTTCATCTTACTATGTAACATGTTCCAATAAGATAAATTAATTGTAAAAAATGATAAATTAATTGTGTTCCAAAAAATATCAAATATTGTCTCTATTTGTAGAGAATGAAAAATTATGAATTTTGGTATTTTTATTTTTATTTTTTGATACAAAATATGAATGATAATTTAATTTATATAATATGATATATGAAATTCATTACCCAATAGAAATGGGACACATGTCCCATTTAAAAAAAAAATACTTTACCTCCTTACCTCACGTGCTTCTGTGGGGGTGTATTTCACAAAAGGCTCTGACACACCTAGCAAGGTGTGCCAGAGCGCACCTAAGTATTTGCGTATAACAATTATGACATATACCAACTAATAAAGCATATTAAATGAGTTATTTTAGCTTTTTACACTTTTCGTTTAAATTTAAAAAACAATATATTTTATAATTTATTTTTTTTCTCTTTTTATCAACGTTGTTTTTTTAACCCGAACATTAAACATGAGCATGTTAGGGATAACTTGTAAAATAATTAATATATTATCTCATTAATATATTTAAACTATATAATTTGATTTTAGTGTATATATTTATTCATTGTTATGAGAGAAAAAATAACACTTTTCGTTATTTTTGTCCACCATATGATATTTAATTATTATTTTATTAAATTTTGTTGTCATATAATGTCATTATTATTTATAAAAATTATAAAAGATGTACATCTTCTTTTTCTTTTTATTTTATGTATTAAAAAATATTTAATGCACGTTAGTATTATTTATTTATGTAATAATTTTAAATATGTAAATAAATTTAAAATTAAATAATGTATAAATATTTTACCAAATATACACACAATTTTTTTTTTAAAATTTAATTTGGTATATTAATTAAACAACTTTGATTTAGCAAATGCCAAAAACTCAATCCCTTTTATAATCAGGATTTTTCTAATTTGCAATATAAGAACTTATAGTTTATTTAACATACTCTGCAATGAAAATATATTTTACAAGGTTTTTTTTTTCAAACGACAATTATATTAATAACTTAAAAATTCAAAATAGTACAACAGAAGTATCAAATGACACACTATAACCAGAAGACTGGACAAACCCCCTTGTCATCACACACAAAGGGGGTACAAACTGCATCAAGGAGGCGAACAACCACAAAACAAAACTCCAAAACAGAGACACTAACTCCAGACAAAGGTGCACTTAACGAACCAAAAAAAAAAAAACTCACACCTAATTAATAAAATAAAGCCTTCCCGGCCACCGTCAAACTACACATACACTACAACCTCACAAGCCAACAAATCAAAGAAATCTACATAGAAGAGCCTGTCCTCAACCTAGAATACCAGTCCAAAAACTTCGCACTCCAAATCGGCTACGGCTATCCAGATAAGATCCTCAACCTCGAAAAGGCCTTCAATGCAAAGAGACCGCTTCAATCAACGCCGAGACACAACCCACGTCCCCCGACCCACACACACATCAAAGACCAACCGCAACCCGCCGTGAAGACCAACCCTTAAGAAATAGAGCACCAACAGAGTGGGGACGCCGGCAACACAAAAGCCGCCGGAGCTCGGCTTCTACCCGCACTGCATCTGAAATTGGTTGACCAGTCTCGGCACCGGCACCGGAGGAAGGAGAAGGGAGTTGCGGCAGTAGGGAGGCAAAAATTTGAAATTTAGGTTTACACGAGAGAGGGCCTTTTTTTTTCGAGAGAGAGAGCTGAAGAATTTGATTTCCTTTTTTCAAGTACTTTTATTGAGATATTTTGGGATAATTGTAAAAAAAAAAATTCAAGAATTTCATTATAGAATAAATCAAAATAATAATAATAATAGTAAAAATAATCATTGTTATACAAATAAATTCTAAAGAACAGTTAATATATTTCAATTTTAATTTTTTTTTTTGGTACAGGGACCTTCCGGTTTCTGGATCCACAGGGGAACCGACTAATCTGGAATCGAGACGGGTAGGACCACAAGAGCGGCAAAGCTCTCCCTCAAGAGTTTTTAACACTGCTGCATTCAATTTTAATTTTTGACTATTAGTAAAACTATTTATCATATCACGTCATTCTCTCTTAAATAATAAATTATATTAATTTTAAGTACAATTTATTTTTTTATATATAACAAAATTGTTGACCTAAAAATTCACTCAAGCGTTGGATGGACGACACGTGGACGACGAGAAAGTAAAGAGCCCTGGCCGAGGAGTGCAGAGAAAATGCTACCCGACCTGCGAAAGCCGACCTTGTCCGGGAGCCGACCTCTAGAACGAAATAACCTCGGGCGCA